GAGAGAGAGAAAAGGAGGGAGGGAGGGAGGGAGGGAGAAACAGACAGACAGAGAGACAGACAGAGACAGACAGAAAGAAAGCGAGAGAGAGAAGTGAAATCAAGATGGCAAGTGTTAAAAGGACAACATATAATGGCAATAGAACAATAAAGACATGACCAATAAAGCAGTTGGCCAGAACAAAGAATAGAAAGCAACAGACAGAAAATTATTCTGTTTGGAAATATTGCTCAAAGCCATTGGTATCCAAAAGGAGAAGTAAATATAGAATGATGGAAAACGGAAATAAAATAGTATCTTAGAAAGGATCGAATAAACCAGAAAATAAAGGAAATTGCATCAGCACGTAAGTTTAAGTACAAGAAAGTAAGCACAAGACACAACCGCGAGACGAATGGCAGAGGAACGACACAGAAAGTCACAGAGATGTCATCGCAAGAAAAAAAAAAAAAAAAAAAAAAAAGTCACGAAAACTCTTAAGAAAGCCAACGAAACAATAAGACATGAGGACAAAGTACTCGGCTACATTCACTCTCACTTTCTAGCAGGATGTACCGAGGGCCTAGCCTGGTGGAGGACGGCTGGATGGCCCGTGTTTTTACGTCTGCCTCTCTCTCTCCACGTACACCCGAGTCTCAAAGGGGTGTTGGATTCTACTCGAAGCGCTTTCGGAATGTCTTATGAATCTCCGAGGAGTATTGGATTCACATCGATGACCTGCGCACGGGAGTAAGGATTTCCACTCCAACATATTTTTGCTATAGGACTGAGGATCCAAAACCATTTGAAGACTCATGAATACATATTCTGACTATCGGAATGTCAGTGTTATGAGTGTCTAAGGAGCATTGGAATCTCTTCGATGTGGGCATTGTCATTGTTTTATAAGTCTCCAAAGCGTGTTGGATTCTCCTCGAAACACGCTTTGGGGGAATATCAGACTTAGGAGTCTCTAAAGGGCGCTGGATTCCCCTCGCAGCGCTACATTGTTGGAATTCTAATCCTATGATTTTAATCCTATGATGCGTTGGATTTTCGGTCTTATGGCAACAACGTAAGTAAGTGCCAATCCTTACTACAGTGGCGTAGGTCTTATTAGCATTGTGAGAAACTAAGATGCTATTTACGGATGATAGCCCATGCCTCCCTGTCTGCAGATGGATTATAAATGCGAATTTCTCTTTATCTCTGCATTTGAGAAAAGGAAATGCGATATTTGCGTTATTTTCATACATTGCGGAAGAACAAATTTTCTTCATTAGTATCAGCAATAAGAAAGTCAATAAACTAAACACGCGTTCAATAAATGACTCCTCAATGAACTAAAATTCGTTTAAGGTGCGAGAAGATGAGAAAAAAACAATGAATTGTTGTGTCCAGAGGGAAGGCGAGAGTGACAGACGATCCCGACCGAGCCTTCTTCGATGGTCTTTTCTAGTGTCGGTTTTCTTGCTGTTGTTTTGTCTGTAGTGCTATTTTCCTGTCGTTATTGTTTTCCCTTGATGATTCTTTCCCTTGACGCCATTTTCCCCAATGATTCTTTCCCTTGATACTATTTTCCTTCAATGATTCTTTCCCCTGACGCTTTTTTCCCTTGTTGATATTTTCCCTTTGCGCTGTTTTCCCTTCAAGCTATTTCCTCTCTTACTGTTTCCCCGATTCGATTTTTCTCTGTCGCTGTTTTCTCCGTGACGTGACTTTCCTCTAATGCTATTTCTGTTGATATTATTTTCCAATTCTATTCCATTTATGTCTGATGCTATTTTCGTCTGTTGCTCTTTTTCCTTTAAACAATGGAATCATTATGGGTTATTCAGACAGCGATAAAAAATCAAAATTGAATATTTAGGACAAGAGCTTTAATACACTTGTTATCATCATATTACTGTTATTAATACTAGTAGGAGTAACATTATTGTTATCATCATTGATATCATTATTTTTAATCTTATTGGTGTCATTACTGATGTTGCTATGCACATCATTATCATTATTATTGCTGCCATTATCGTTGTCATTATTGTTATCCGGAGCATCACTGGTATCGTTTTTCATCAGCTCTTATCACTGAAAATCCTTGTTAATTTTGTAAGTACAAATCTCAAGTTTACTGATACAAAGTATTTTACTAGAATGCCATGTTTATCCCCGATTCAAGGCTGACTGGGAATTGCAACAGCGGCTGATGGCAGAGTAACATCGAACACAGTTATTCTTATACCTTATAACTATATTGTACTAAAGTAATATTGCGTCAGACGCACACGACTGTCACTGCATCCAGACTAACCATCCACGAAGGACTACTCAGACGAGGTATCATTAATATCAAGGTAGTAAAACGTCGGAGTAATCTTGTGCCAAAGACTGGTCGTACCCTGCCAGAAGATGAAGAAAAAAATAATGATGTCTACGGTTTGATTTCTCTTATGAAGTAAGGGCTGACCTGCAATCCTCGACCTCCCTTGAGTCCCTGATCTTTCAGTTCGCGGACTGGCCTGCCCACACCTTGCTCTCCCGCCCGTGTCACTGATTTTTCATGTCTCCTTAATGTGTTTCGTCATAGCGATCGGGTGCATGGGAATATCGCCTCATTTTATAGATGTGCTTCTAAGTGCGGTATATCTAAGAT